TTGGATGTGGCAGGAGAAAATCGCAACTCTAAATGTAAGAGTGGAGTGGAGGCTTCGAATGATTGCTGCACATAACAGGGCCGAAAGTGATCAAGTTCTAGAGGGTTGTTTGGTCCCGTTCCATAACCACTTCTGGAGCTATTTCATGCCTTCTTATTTGGGGTTGTCTATGTGCTTTAATTAGCAAGTAGGTGGATGTATCTTGTTGTGTACAGAACAATATAGCCAATCTGCTTTCTTTTGTTTGTTCTGAGGGAAGGAGCTTCCTGGTTCGCTCAGCCCATTTTTTCGGTGTTGTTTCCACCGTTTTATTCCTTGTTCCTTTGCTGCTCTATGTGTTTTTTTTTTCTGAGGTGCACACATTGTGCTGGCCTTTCTGTCTGTCGTGACTTTCAGTTTATTTCTAATAAATTCACCATTATCAAAAAAAAATACCATAAAAAACAAAAATATTATTGAATGATAACAAAAAAAAATACCACAAAGTGAGTATCAATGGCTCAAAATATGAAATACCAAACAAAAGCCTATGCTCAGGTAATAACTAATAACTGCATTGTTAATCTCCTCGGAAAAGTAATTGTGAAGTAGAAGGACTTAAATAGCCTTCCGTGGAGTGCGCATGGCCTCTATTTTCTAAGCTTATCCCCTTCTCACTTGGAATGTCCTTATATTAGTGTGTAGATAGATGTAGATAAATTAATTTGAACTACTCTGAAAAATATTAATTGAGACCACCACAGCAACAACTACTACTCTTGTCGTGGGTCTTTCTCATAGAGATATGTAAACTACATATATTTAGCAAGAATTGTATAACCCTGGCGGAGATTATATCGAGGTAAGTTATTTTGAACTGAAATCGTGATTTAGTATATTTATATAACTAAAATGTAAGAAACTCGGATCTAGGCGTCTTCGCCTAGGTTTCTAAGATTGAGATTAATAGAGATTTGAGGATTTAGAGGGGATTAGGGATTCGGATCAAGGAAAAGGGGAAGGGAGAAGGAGAACTCGTTATCCTTGAGAGAGGAGAGCCGACGGGGATAATGAGGGGGGGGGGGGGGGGGGGGGGTTAACTAAAATAGAGGAGAGAGCAATGTAATCAACATCCCGCTTTTATGTTTCTAAGTCATCAAATATTTCTATGTAGATACACGCTTTTCGATTACAAGTGTGGTCAGAATCTTCGCTTAAACTTAAAAGTTTACGTTTTCACACTTTTAAATCACCGAACCCCATCAATGTATAATCACGATTTCGACTGTATTGAGAGAAAGGGAGAGAAATTAGGTTTAGGAAAAATATGTCCTATATTTTCTTAACAAAAATACTCTCACTAATCACACAACATTATAAAGTGATGAATTTCCTAATAGCTATCCAAACTAAATCCTTCTAACAAAAACAACCAAGTATACTAAAAATCCCCCAAAAAATATAAAGTACAAAACATAAATAAAATGACAAATGAGTCCCAATACCAACCCCCACCACCCCCGAAAAGTGAGTTTCTAACATAAAACTACCTACTAGTTTTTTTTTATTTTTACAAAAGATAATCATATATTGATACTCAAGAATAGATCATTACACCAACTGCCTCAACCAGGCTACAAAATCAAAAGAACGACTCGCTATCGGGTACAAAGAAAGAGCCTTTCTAACCACCAAATGGGCTACCCTGTTACTACGCCGACCAACGAACCGAACAATAAACCCTGCATTCTCAACCATGCCTCACGAAAAATAGCTCCCTCCATATTATCACTCCCCTGAGCCAAGAGAAGCCTATCCACCACCCCATTCGCATCCCCCTCAAAGCGAACAAAGAGTCAACCTCTATTCCGACACCATAGGATAGCTTCCCGGAGGGCCAACACCTTTACCAGCATTGGTTCATCAACCTCCGGAAAACACACCCCCTCGCACCAACAACCACCCCATCCGGGCCCATCAACACCATCACTCCGGCTGAATGAGACACTAGCCGCACCCGCTCCATCCCACCCACAAATGAGAGTATCCTGGCTACCAGGGGGCTCCCCAGAGGTCACCCGAACCAGGGCATAGCCCACCACCTCCTGGGGAAGCGACTCCCACTCCCTCAACTGCTGATGATATTGCCGAAGCAGGGCTGGCATCCCAAACTGTTTGCCTTCAAAGACTACCCAATTTCGAGACTTCCAGATCCGCCAGAGCACTGCTACAATCGCCATGACCTGGGAAGGTTCCCTCACGATGGCCAGAAGGTTCTTGAGGAAGAGAGAAAAAGTAAGACGATGCAAACCCCGACCCACATGCTCTAGCTCAGCTAAATCCCACAAAGCAAGAGCCACACAGCAGTCGAAAAAAAGATGTTCCATAGTTTCTGGCGCAGCCTAGCACACCATGCAGCGTGGATGAACCTCTACCTTCCTCCCAATGAGAGCTTTCGTAGTGGGTAGAAAACTGTGCAGAACTTGCCATAAGAACACCTTCAGTTTAGGCGGAATAGCCAAGTTCCACACACTCTTCCAACTCCCCCGCTCCATCCAACTTACCAACGGGCGCCAACCCCCAGATTGCTGGTTCATGCGAACGGCAAGTGATAAGCTGATTTTACTGTGAAGAGCCCATCACCCGTCTCATGCCAGACAATTCTATCAATAATCTCCCGTCGAGGCAAAGGAATCCTTCGGATAGCACGACAGGTATCGGGAGGGAACCATTCCCCAAGTTTATCCAGTAACCAGCATCCGTCAGTCAGACAAATGAAATCAGCCACCTTTAGCTCCCCTCCCTCAGCAAGAATTAGAGGATAGGATTAAACATGGGGGGATCTGGGTGGAGCGAGGGAATCCAATTACTTGTCAAAGCCGCCACCCCTCTCCATCTCCAATCTGTCATCTAATCCCCTGGGTCAATGATTGCCTCCCATACAGAATACTCGGCCAACCCCAGGAAAGACGAGAGCTGGGAGTCGCGGAGAAGAAATCCCCACGGGGAAACTACTTCCCTTTATACACCTGAGCGAGTAGGGACTGCGGATCAGTTAGGATTTGCCAGCCAAACTTAGCAAGAAGCGCTTGATTGAAGAACTCAAATCTGCGAAACCCCATTCCACCCTCATACTTACTCTGACACATCCTACGCCAAGACATCCATCGAATGCGGGAGTGCCCGTACTCTACCCCCCACCAAAATCGCGCAACCAGCCTCTCCAAAGTACTACAAAGAGAGAGAGACAGTTTAAAGCAGGACATCACATGAAGCGGTAGCGCAGAAGCAACAGATTTGATCAGAGTTTCTCTAGCCGCCGTGGACAACGATCGCTGAGCCCATCCCTGGAGCCGGGCAATTAACCTTTCCTCCACAAAGCGACACGTGGCCATCTTAGATCGAGAAATGAGGGATGGTAAACCCATATATTTATCATGGACACCCACAGCCCCAAATCCCAGAACTTGGGCAAGAAATTCCTGATCAGGCCCGGTGATATTCTTACTGAAGCATACTGCTGATTTCCCCAAATTAACCCGCTGCCTGCTGAGCTCCTCGTACTCATTCAGAACCACAATCAGATTCTCACATTTCTGAAGCGAACCTCGTAGGAATAAATATGAGTCATCTGCAAAAAACAAGTGAGTGATCCGAGGAGATCGAGGAGCCACTTTCACTCCCTCCAACTTCCCTTCCGAGATAGCCTTGCGAAGGAGAGCCGCAAACCCCTCCGTGCAAAGCACAAACAGGAGCGGAGAAAGGGGGTCCCCTTGCCTCAATCCACGGGATGAGCAGAAGAACCCCGCCGGAGAACCATTCATTAGAATTGAAAACGATGTCGAACTAAGGCACTCTCTAATCCAGCCAATCCAAGTCTGGCTGAAACCTAGTTTGGCCAGAATCGCAAGAAGAAAGGACCATTGGACTCTATCATAGGCCTTTTCCATGTTAACTTTTAGAGCCATGTATCCGTTCTTCCCTCGATTTTTAATATTTAGGTAGTGCATTAGTTCGTGCCCCAACAACGCATTCTCCACTATTTGGCGCTCCCGGATAAACGCATTCTGGCCTTCCGACACAATCCGGGGAAGGAAAGGGGCCTGCCTCTCTGTCATAATCTTGGTAATCATCTTATACACAAACTGGCACAGACTAATAGGCCGCAATTGTCGAATGGTCTCCACATTATCAACCTACTAGTTGAGGCTTCCATAATAGGTATTTTTATTGGACAACATGTACAATCTGGTTCACAACCATTGCTATTTATGTGTTTCGCTAATATGAAATGTTGGTAAATTTTCCTGGAGCAACATCTTTGGTCGGGATCTAACGGAAGATTAGACTATTTTTTATTCAGTTTTCAATGAAATTATGTTATTTTGCTTTCAGTTGTATTTCATTTTGGCATAGATTTTTTAAGGTTTCAAGTATTATTTGAGTGTATTTTACTTTTACTCAAGTCATTTAGATCAATTAAGTTTTTTTAACATATATTTTTGGTTGCAGAAATAAATTCGCAGTTAAAAATAAACTTTACAAGGGATCATTTAACACAATAATTTTGTTAAGTCCTTTAAAATCAATTAAGATTAGCTAAGTTTGTGTGTTTTATTTTTTTCTCAAGTCATTTAGATCAATTAAGTTTTTTTTACATATATTTTTAGTATATAATGAGTAAATTGTTATTTCAGACCTTATTTTGATTTCGACTTTTTCATGCTAGAAATTTTTAGTTGGAATTCAATTTTTTTAACTTTAATCATCTTTTAAAGTATAGTTATCATAATATTAAAATATTTTTATTATTATAGTAATCAATTTTAACATCATTTCGTGACAATATAGTAAAAGAACCTCGGCACCCCGAACGCCAAATCCTAACTCCGCTCTTGATGAGTGAAGCATCAGGATAAGTCATTTAATATGTTTAATCATCTTAGTTGATGTCATGCTGTGTTAGCTATATCAGTTTCAATGTTTCAAGTGTGTGAATTGGATCGACATCTATCGATCAATTCGATCTTGTCCTTTTACTTCCAATAAAAATCATATGTAAAAAATATCATAAAAAGTGCTGCAAACTCAAACGTAAGCGAGAAATGGACACATGCTAGGAGTGATGCATACAATACTACGTACAAACAAATATACGTACAAAGGCAAGAAACTCAAATAACAATCAGAATAGAAACGAGCAATGAGCCCCTGTAGACAAGCAATCGCAAGACATATAACAACATATCGTCAAACTCCGAAACAGAGTCACATCCACCAACTTCGTGTACTAGTTCACTGATCAGTTCCCAGGGCCTGCCGGGGTAAGGCCGGGGATGGAAGGCATGGTTGGAAAACCGCTAGGCAATGGCGGCAGAGAAACCTTTGGCATGGAAGGAATTGTGGGCATGGTTGGAATCGCGCTGGGGAGTGGTGGCAATCCTCCTCCAGACGGCAGAGTTGGTTGCGGCAGGGTCGGTACGGCGCCGGCGCTGGGTAGCGGTGGCAATCCTCCTCCGGACGGCAGAGTTGGCATGGCGCTGGGGAGTGGTGGCAATCCTCCTCCGGTTGGCAGAGATGGGATGGTGGGAATGGCGCCGGCGGCGCTGGGGAGTGGTGGCAGGGTCGGCTGAGGCAGAGTAGATGGGATTGTGGGCATAGGAGGCAGTGCTGTGGGTTGTGGCAGTTGGAGGAGCTGTCGAGCCGCCATTCCATTCTCCATGCTGACGGCGAGGACGACAGCAAAGAGGAACAAGCTGGAAGAAGAAGCCATGTGATATCAAATGGTTCTTTTGTTTGGGGTTTTGTTGGTGCAAGTGATGGTGGAAAAGGGTTGAGAGGTGGAGGGTTTTATATACAGCCACTGAGATTATTAAAGTTAGTATGGTCGAGAGAAGAGTTGTCAGATGGTGTGTGATACTAGGTAGTTCACTTTCCTTACCCATAAAAATGCCGGTGGGGAAGGTTGGTCAGGAAAAAAGGCTAATACATATATATTACATAGTCCAAGGTTTCGGTAATCTAACATGACATTAGCTAGCTAGTTCGGAGGAATTCTGTCATTAAATTATTATTACTAATCTTGCTGTCTCATAGTGATCATAATTCTTTTATTTTCAGATGGATGCACTGATGAAATGTTTGGTTTGAACTTTTTTGCCTCCTCGTGATCCATATAAATATTGAGCTTCTATCCATATATACTATGTATGTACATAAACCTAAGCCAAATTAGGTCACCTAGGTTGGAATGCATTTTACACATTCTTTATGTGGTTATTCGTCGCCCTAATTAAGTTAATTTTATTCTAATGCTCTTAGTTCATTTATTTGTAGTTTAAAGATTTAAACCCAAAACAAACTTATAAATTACAGGAAATAAAAAACAAACTTAATACGGTAAATCATGATTAAGTAATTACCCCAACAATTATAAACGTAGAGCCCTTCTAGTGTGCTCTATAGCACCCATGCTATAAAAAACAAAAAAAAAGGTGACCTGTTGAGGAGGTAACCCACTAAATGACTGGTCCCACATCATTAATGGCAATCTTGTAAATAATGAATCAATGTATACAAGTGTAGGTACAAATTAGAGTTGTACCATATAGTATAGGTACAAGTTTCAGCTGTACCATTGAAGAATTTGTTTCACAAAGTGTAGGTACAACTTAAAGTTGTACCATTAGTATAGGTACAATTTTTAGTTGTACCATAAAGGGATTTGTTAGAAAGTGTAGGTACAACTTAAAGTTGTACCATGGTATAGGTACAAGTTCGGGTTGTACCATAAAAGAATTTTGAAAAAGTGTAGGTACAACTTAAGGTTGTACCATTAGTATAGGTACAATTTTGAGTTGTACCATAAAGGGATTTGTTAGAAAGTGTAGGTACAACTTAAAGTTGTACCATGGTATAGGTACAAGTTTGGGTTGTACCATAGAAGAATTTTTAGGAAGTGTAGGTACAGCTTAAAGTTGTACCATAGTATAGGTACAAGTTTAGGTTGTACCATAGAAGGATTTTGAGAAAGTGTAGGTACAACTTAAGGTTGTACCATTAGTATAGGTACAAATTTGAGTTGTACCATAAAGAGATTTATTAGAAAGTGTAGGTACAATTTAAAGTTGTACCATTAGTATAGGTACAATTTTGAGTTGTACCATAAAGGGATTTGTTAGAAAGTGTAGGTACAACTTAAAGTTGTACCATGGTATAGGTACAAGTTTGGGTTGTACCATAAAAGAATTTTGAGAAAGTGTAGGTACAACATAAGGTTGTACCGTTAGTATAGGTACAATTTTTAGTTGTACCATAAAGGGATTTGTTAGAAAGTGTAGGTACAACTTAAGGTTGTACCATTAGTATAGGTACAATATTTAGTTGTACCATAAAGAGATTTGTTAGAAAGTGTAGGTACAACTTAAAGTTGTACCATTGTATAGGTACAAGTTTGGGTTGTACCATAGCTGGATTTGGAGAAAGTGTAGGTACAACTTAAGGTTGTACCATTAGTATAGGTACAATTTTGGGTTGTACCATAAAGGGATTTATTAGAAAGTGTAGGTACAACTTAAAGTTGTACCATAGCATAAGTACAAGTTTGGGTTGTACCATAGAAGGATTTTTAGAAAGTGTAGGTACAAATTAAAGTTGTACCATGGTATAGGTACAAGTTTGGGTTGTACCATAAAAGGATTTATTAGAAAGTGTAGGTACAACTTAAGGTTGTACCATTAGTATAGGTACAATTTTTAGTTGTACCATAAAGGGATTTGTTAGAAAGTGTAGGTACAACTTAAAGTTGTACCATGGTATAGGTACAAGTTTGGGTTGTACCATAAAAGTTGTACCATTAGTATAGGTACAATTTTGGGTTGTACCATAAAGGGATTTATTAAATTTCCTGGGATAGTGAGAACTGCTCTTTGCATCTCACGGGACATCTCACGGCCGTGATATTTGCCTGAGGAATGAAGCACTGGTTTTTACATCTAACTTGAGTATTTTACGGTCGTGAGATTACCAGTATAAGGTGTCAGATTTCCAGTAGGAGACTTTCACCTGTTGAACTATCCCGTGTACTTATTATAATGGTGTTTCAAACAGAATGGACTTTTTTCCAGAACTTCAAACTTATGAAAAAGATGATTCATAATGTTCTCTAAACCTTGACACGAGCATTACATAGATCCATTCACAATGTTCTCTAGTAACTGTACATCATATCAGATGAGATACCCTGTTAACAAAAAGTGAAACGCAGTCAAAGCATTACATTTGTCTAATAAAACAAGCATCCATAACACGATTAAATCTGTCTAATTAATGCTTAAGTTTAGCTGCATGTAGCCCACACTAGTGCATCATCATATTCTAATTGGAAAACATACAAGCACAAACGCAAACACACATAGGTAAGTACTAAGGACTTTTGTTGGGTCATCTTCACTGCCCATCTTCCTCGTCAGTGCTCTCGTCCTCGTCTTCGTTTTGCTGGATTTGCTCATCTTCATTGTCCTCGCTAGAGTCACTGCCCTCTTCCTCAATGGTCCCTGAGTCACTGCCCTCTTCCTCAATGGTCCCTTTGTCCTCTTGATTTCTTTCCTTGTTTTGTTCATTGCCATTGTCCTCGTCGTCCTCTTCACTGCCCTCTTCCTCATTGGTCTCTTTGTCCTCTTGATTTCTTTCCTTGTTTTGTTCATCGTTGTTGCCCTCGTCGTCCTCCTCTTCACTTTCCTTTTCCTCATTGGTCCCTTTGTCCTCTTGATTTATTGCCTTGTTTTGTTCATCGCCGTTGCCCTCGTCGTCCTCTTCACTGCCCTCTTCCTCATCGGTCCCTTTGTCCTCTTGATTTATTTCCTTGTTTTGTTCATCGTCCTTCCCCTCGTCGTCCTCTTCACTGCCCTCTTCCTCATTGGTCCCTTTGTCCTCTTGATTTGTTTCCTTATTTTGTTCATCGTTGTTGCCCTCGTCGTCCTCCTCTTCACTTTCCTTTTCCTCATTGGTCCCTTTGTCCTCTTGATTTATTGCCTTGTTTTGTTCATCGCCGTTGCCCTCGTCGTCCTCTTCACTGCCCTCTTCCTCATCGGTCCCTTTGTCCTCTTGATTTATTTCCTTGTTTTGTTCATCGTCCTTCCCCTCGTCGTCCTCTTCACTTCCCTCTTCATTGCTTTCCTCGGTTGGCCTAGGAGATAGTTCCCAAGGTGTTGAGAATTTTTTGTAGTCAATCCTCAAGGACCTCATGATGTGATGGTTGCATTTGATGATGTAGCGTCGAGCTTCCTTTTCTCGATCGAGGCGGGAGAGAATGAGTGCATTTTGCTCGAGAATTTGGGCATTCTGCCGACCCAATGCCTCAAAATGGGAAATGTATCTGTCGGTGGATGGTCCGGCTTGAGTCGTAGTTTGGTGATGTTGTGCAGGTTGTTGTGGAGACTCCTCGACCATTTGCTGAACAACATGCTCCGATGCGTTTGCCTCATCTGTTGCAAGAGGTGGAGCAGGATGAGGGAGGCCAACAATGCCTACCACACCATTCTCCTTAACCACCAAACACAGACATGATCAATATCAGAAGCATTAGTTACATTTGCTCAATGTTCAAAAGGAACTAGATTAGTAGGCAATCCAAAACTTGCACAAAATCAATCCTAGATTGTTTGAATCCCGACTAGTTCTGTTTTAGCATTCACTGTGAAAAGGAAAGTGTTGGTTGGAACATTTACCTTTGACAACAAATATAGATCCGCAAGGTTTTTTTGGGAGATTGGTTGAGTGGACTGGGCAATGGTGCAATGAGAACCCACCGGATCAATGCCAAAATGCCGAGCTAGCCTTGTGATGTAGGCACCTCCATGGATGGTCTTGATTTGTTTGTTGGAGGTCATCTTCTGTAGGGTTTTCAGTATGACTAAACCAAGATGAATTGGGGGATCTTTTACCATAGAGAGGAAAAAGTTCAAATCCCGCTTGGTCACACTCCCCGGGCTCCCCTCCCTAGCTGCCACAGAATGAGCGATAATGTTGTGGATGATACGCCATGGGGGAAGAAGATCATTCCCTTTATAGTGGGCAGTGTCAGACTTGTCCACATGGTTTTGTTTTACCCTTTTCCATATAGCATCGACCAATTGTGCTCTTGGTGAATATACTTTCTCTGAAATCAAACCATGACCTGTAGTGAGAAATCCTGGTGGGTATATCTGGAGTGCCTCTGTGAACTCAGTGATGCTCATCTGTCTCGCCTGTCCTCCAAGGCGAAAAGTTATGTTGTCTTCGGGCTTGTCGAGGTGAAATTCGCACATAAACTTGATGGAGAGAGTGCTGAGGAACTCAATGGTAAGCTCTCGGTAGATGACCTCATTGATGGAGAGAACCTCACACCATGCCGGGAGACGGAGGCATGTGCGAACGGGGTCCGCTGCTCCGAGGCGCTCTAGGAGATCCCAATCAATGCATCTTTGCTGCCCAAATGGGAGGGGAAGGAAGCGCTCTAAAGCCCTCCTATGTTTGTCGGGTAATTGGAGGAAGCTGTGAAGTCCCCCTCCTCCAAGTTGAGCCTCCGTTTGTGGTGGTGGAGATGGTTGACGTGCTCGTCCTTGGTTGTTTTTGCGTTGTCGTTTGGGGGGAGTGTCTCGTTCTTGGGTTTGGCGGCGACGACGATAAGTAGCCTTCACTTTAGCAGGTGACGCTGATGGTTGCGTGGTTTTTTGTTTAGCTTTCCCCATTCCTACAAAAACCAACTAAGCACATTAAGTCTTTAGTGAATGAGAGGGAAAAGAATTATGCATAAGCATATGCAATTCACAAAGAGACGTCTACACCCTAAAAAAATGCAACAAACCAGGAGCATTCTAATCACAATTAGGAATTCAAAACCCTAATTCAGACCAACCAGGAGCATTCTAATCCCAGGAGCATTCTAATCACAATTAGGAATTCAAAACCCTATAAACAGAACA